TTTTAGGAAGGATTTGCTCTAGGTCAAAAATAAAAATACTTTTATCTTAAGGGGCCCCTTTCTCTTCCTCTGGTGACGCTCTCCTTGGTTGTCATCTTCTCTTTCCAAGCTGCCCTCCCTTTGAGCATACATCCTGACCTCTCAATCTCCTCCTAGATGACCCTGTCCAGGCCTTGCTAGCATTTCTTTTCCTCTTCTCAGGAAAATAATGATCAGTCCTGGGTCACTTCCCTCACTCAGGGACTCGAAAACTGGCCATGGGCTATAAAACGCATCTCATAAACCAATTTGCATTTTTATGTTAGTAGGTTAATTAGGATTTAATAAGCTGCCATCACAGGAGTAAGTCCATTTTTAACCGGGTCTCCCGAAGATTTAATAACCTCAATTTGACCTTAACTTATTCAGTTTCTTCCTGCCTCAGTCTCTCCCCCTGTAAAATGGGGATAAAACTACTACTTATCTCATGTAGATTTTGGGGGGGGAATTAAATAAGGTAATATATGTGAAGTGCTTAGAACTTTGCCTGGGATATAGCAAGCACTATGTGAGTGTTTGGCACGAGAGAAGAAATCATACATGGTAGAGTGTAGGGTAGAAATAGCTGAAGGCCAAGAACAAAGCGCCACAAGTAGTCTTCCCTTGACGGTAGAGACCTGCAATACATAGTGGCCCACAAGAAGGCCACTATAGTCCTGAGCCTGACCCATTCAAGACTTCTTTTTCTTTTACTTTATTTTTTAAAGATTTATTTATTTTAGACACACACACAGACTGGGGGGGGGGGCAGAGAGAATCTCAAGCAGACTCTGAGCTGAGCGCAGAGCCCCACTAGGGGCTCCATCCCACGACCTGAGATCACAACCCTGAGATGACAACATGAGCCAAAACCAAGAGTCAGACGCTCAACCGACTTTGCCACCTGGGTGCCCCAACACTTCTTTTTAAAATCCACTAGCCAGGGGGCGCCTGGTTAGTTCAGTCGGTAGAGCAATGTGACTCTTGATCTCAGGGTCATGAGTTCAAGCCCCACATTGGGTGTAGAGCTTTCTTTAAAAAAAGAAAAGAAAAGAAAAAAAAAAAAAATCCCCTAGTCAGTGTTTAGGTATGAAATGTTGGCGCCATCTCCTGGTCGTCATGGGGAAATGAGAACTAAAAGCTTGGTAGCAACTCCAGGGGACTCCAGCCAGAGCCAAACCACAGGGGATCCTTGGAGCCTGAGCAGAGAAATGTGGGAAAGGCATCCACCTGCGGTCTCTGGTGACAAAGAGCTCTATGTCAGCTTCGGGTTGCATGTATCCACCTTCCTCGTCGAGGCAAGGATCAAATAACCAGGATTACGTACAAGGACAGGAAAATGTACAACTCCCTGTGAGGAGAAGCCATTTTATTTTCTTAACTCCTGGCCTTCAGCAGGGAGAGATCAGGGCAGACGGCTGAGCCAGATACTGCCAACAGGCCTGTGAAGCACCAGGTCCCATAAGCAGAGCAGTCGATTAGAAACTTCCCTTTGCTTTTGAAGCCCACTGAGAAGCAGCCTGACCCTCTGTGTTCCCGGGTTTCTTTACAGACAGAGACGGTGTGCCTATTTGTGCCAGTCACTGTGGTAGGCATTTTCATGCTAAGACTCTACAGTTTTGTGCAGTCATACTAACCCTTTAAGAGGCGGGAAAGAGACAGCTCAGAGAGCTCAGGAAATTTGTCCAAGGCCACCCTATTGTTGAGAGACTACATTGGTATGCTAGGGCTGCCATAGAAAATGCCAGACTGGGTGACTTCAACAACAAAAACGTATTTTCTCACAGTTCTAAGACTGGGAGTCCAAGATCGAGATGTTGGCAGGTTTGGGTTCTTCTGAGGTTTCTCTCCTTGACTGGTAGATGGCCGCCTTCTTGCTATGTCTTCATGTCACCTTTTCTCTGAGCACACACACCCCTGGGGTCTCTTTGTATGTCCAAATTTCCTCCTTTTTAAGGACACCAGTCAGACTGGATTAGGGCGCACCCTAATGGCCTCATTTTAACTTAATCACCTCTTTAAAGACCCAATCTCCAACGGTCACATCCTGAGATAACTGGGGCCTAGGGCTTCAATATACGAATTTCCAGGGAACATAATTCAGCCCATACCAGGGACCAGATCAGGCTTCAGTCTCAGGCTTCTGACTTCAGTCTGTGTCCCCTTCTATGGCTCCATGGCTGCTCTGTGCTTGAGCTTAGGCAAATCTTGCTTTCGTTTGATTTCAGTGGCAGTGCAAGGTTTCTAAGAATCTAGGGAAATCTACCATAGAAATTCAGTCAGAATGGCTCTATTTCATGCCTTCCTTTCAGGGTGATGAACCAAAGCAAACAAGATCTCAGGTCCAAAGTTTCACCTAAGAGTTAGGTTAACTTCCTGCTGAAAAAAAAAAAATCACCTCTACAACTGTGGGAAAATACACCTATCTGATCTTTTTCCTCTTGGTTAAACTGGTAACCAGTGGTCAGGAACCAGTCTGAGAGCACCCCTGTACCTCAGTTAGGACAGAGCTCTTGGGTGTTAGAAATGCTTCTCTCCTACGCTTGTTCAATTGCCCAGAGGAAATGACGGCCACTCGTCCTGCTGGCGTTTGGGAACAAACTCTTGACTTTGTTTCTCCCTGCAGTGGATGTGGAGGCCTAGGAATGCATGCTGCCTCCCTGTAATATTCTTGAGACCAGCAGAGTGGAGAGGCCCAAGTATCTTTCCAGCCTTGAGACATCTGCTTGCCACCAGCGAGGGCTCCGGCATGCCAGGATCCCTTGGCTTTGGGCACATGCCGCCATCATTATCACTAAGTGAAAGCTTTGTGCTTCCTTTGCAGCCAGATTAAAGTTCTAGGAATTTACAGGTATGAAAAGCATTGTGACTTTGGGGGTTCACAGCTGTGTCCAGGAAGATCTGACCAGATTCAGGGACTAGTAAGACAATTACAGGCCAGTGGAGCAGAAAGGAGCAGAGCGATGAAATATGCTATATTCAAGTCAGTGGTGAATATGGAAAAGGGCAACAGCACAACAGTCAGAAGTCCAGAGTTAGAGCATATTATTGACTCTCACCAGCTTTGTGGGTCTGGGTCACTTAGCCTTACTGAGTCCCAGCTGAAATGGGGGCAATAATGCTCTCTAGACCTGGAGGCTGGCTTGATTTAAGAATCAAATGAAATCATCTGCAAGAGGGTAATTTATATTCTAAATACAGTATACAGATATAACTTATCCTTATTTTTAAATACTTTCTCTCCCTTATTAGTACAACTCTCTGCACAGACTTTATTATGTTATTTTCACACTGCTTTACAGAAATTTACATGTTTATTTTTCCTGATTGACTTAAGTTCCATGAGGACAGACTATATTGTTTCCCTTGTATCCTTAGACCCAGCTCCTCCTAAGTACTCAATCTTTTTTGTTGAATGAATGCATGAATGAATAAGTGAATAATATTAATCTACAAGTTTGCCAAACGCATGAGGAAAATGGTGTGTTACATGAACATAAAAAACAAGGAAGAGTTTGTCATTCTGGATCTTTCCGAGCTACAGCACTGCTTTATGACATTCTCTTTTCCAAGTTCAGCACGAGTAATTCAGTCAGAACTGAGTCAAGCCCCACAGTAAGGGTTTCTCGTTTTGTTTATGGACAAGATAAGCAGGAGTTTTCACCAGGAAATAAAAGTTCGGGTGCTTCTTGCTATCTGAACTCTTGCCAGATGAACTCCTGTTATCTGGGGTGATGCTATCCAAACTCAGAACCAGATAGGCAGAGACACATTTTTGGAAGAATCTTTCACTACCTAAATACTGGTGCTTACCACCTGGAACTCAGGAACCGAAGCGAGTCCTGTAAATAGCCCTTGTTATCCAAACATATTCGCTTCCTCAGCTTGGATTGGGAGGATGCCCTATTCTCCAAGTGTATTGATAACATTCCCTTTACCCACATCAACAGGCACGCACATGTATACGTACAGATACGCAAGTCATGCTTTTTCTTGATGACACCTATCATTTGATAAAGAATATCATCTAATATAAAATATCTGGAGCTTCTCCTGCCTAATGGTGCAGTCAGAATCCATTCTGCTCTGAGGAAGTACGTGAAACTATGATGCTGCAGGTACCATCCGAAGCTGCTTCTCAGGACTCATTGTCGCTATGGAAGGGACAAACCTTTGCAGGTCACCTCTGAATCCCTAGCACCTGGCACAGCTGTTCTCATTTAATGCTTTTTAAATGAGTGAGTACTTGGGCCAGCTGAAAGGCGGGGCAAGTATGGGATGTGATCACACACCAGAAGTGAACACACTGCCATTGGCTTAGAGTGCTTTGCCTGAGCATCGAAGTTCAGAGAATACTTATGGTCTACTAGATATTTTAACAAAGTATTTAGCCACGTTTAATGCAAACTGCCTCAAATGCACAGCTTTTTCAAATATAAGGTTTTTTGGTTTTTGTTTTGTTGTTATCCTAAAATCTTCAAACTGTATGATTTTACTGCTGTTTATTCAGAAGAGAATCAAGATAAGTTTTCTTTAAAAAAACCAACCAACCGGGGCGCCTGGGTGGCTCAGTTGGTTAAGCAACTGCCTTCGGCTCAGGTCATGATCCTGGAGTCCCGGGATCGAGTCCCATATCGGGCTCCTTGCTCAGCAGGGGGTCTGCTTCTCCCTCTGATCCTCCCCCCCCTCATGTGCTCTCTCTCTCTCATTCTCTCTCTCAAATAAAT